GCTAATCTCCTGCCTCAGCCTCCCAAGTAGCTGGGACCACAGGCACCCGCCACAACACCCAGCTATTTTTTGGTTGCAGCTGTCATTGTTGTTTTGGCGGGCCTGGGGCTGGATTCGAACCTACCACTTTAGGTGTATGTGGCTGGCACCTTAGCCACTTGAGCCACAGGCGCCAAGCCTGAATTTTTTAAGCATTATATGTCCATGGTGTTTCTAGAAACATAGAATCTGCTTGTTTTACTATAAATTTGGTTTTTGGCATGTTTTATAATTAATGTACTAGCACTAGAAAATGTGTTTGTTTTTTTTGTCTTCAGGAATGGGAAGCATGCCCAATCTGTCCATTCCTCAGTCATTGCCTCCAGTTGCACCTATGGCAACACCCTTGTCCTCTTCAACTTCAGGGACCAGCCTTCCTCCCTTAATGATGCCCACTCCCCTAGTGCCTTCTGTTAGCACATCATCATTACCAAATGGAACCGCCAGTCTCATTCAGCCTTTATCCATTCCTTATTCTTCTTCAAGTAAGCACTTTGTTTCTAATGAGTCAGTGTTTCATGTGAAAAAAGAAAGTGTTGTTTGTGTCGGAATAGATACAAATTTCCTTCATCTTTGTGATATTGCTTAGTGTGAACCTTCTTTTTCTTTACTGTTTTTTTGTTTATTTTTTTTTTTTTAGCATTGCCTCATACATCATCGTATAGTCTGATGATGGGAGGATTTGGAGGTGCTAGTATACAGAAGGCCCAGTCTCTGATTGATTTAGGATCTAGTAGGTATGAATACTTAACACTTACAACTTTTCATGCTTTCAATAAGAAGTCCTTGTTTGACAGATGACTTTTTTTAAGCTCTGAGCTCTTCTAGGTTTTACTTTGGAATGGCTAACTCTTAAGTATGTAAGGTAACTTTACTACCTAAAAATCACATAAAATAAATTTTTTGTTTTTAGAATTGAAAGTGTCTGTGGCATTTTACTCTTCAAAAAAAGTTCATGTAAACTAAAAATATTCTCCTGTATTTTAGTCAGTTTTTGTCCAAAGCTCTGTGCTTTTGCTTTTAAAAATGTATATATTTCCCAAAATGTCTCGTAATCACTGTACATACTTAGTTTCTTTTTTTTTTGTAAGAGAGTCTCACTTTTTTACCCTCGGTAGAGTGCTATGGCATCACAGCGAACAGCAACGTCCAGTTCTTGGGCTTAGGAGATTCTCTGGCCTCAGCCTCCCGAGTAGCTGGGACTACAGGCACCCATCACAATGACCGGCTATTTTCTTTTTACAGTTTGGCCAGGGCTGGGTTTGAACTTACCACCCTTGGTATATGGGCCCGGCGCCCTGCTCACTGAGCCACAGGCACCGCCCACTTAGTTTCTTTTTGAGCAAATTCTGTTAATAGGGTATGTTTTAAACTTTAGAAAGCACAAAGCATCAATGTTCATTCATCATCATTCATATAAATCACTGGTAGACTCTAAAAAGCAGTGTATAAAGAGCATTAGTTTTGACCCAGAAGAACATTTATATCCCAGTTTAAACGAACCCACTGATGTTGTGACCTTGTTTTTTCTTAACATCACTGAATCATGTTTACCTGTCTGAAAGATAGGGAAAATAAAAGTTTGTTGGAAGGATTGGTACAATATAGGCTTGGCACAGTATAGGCCCTAATACTATACAGGCACATAGTAGGTTCTTGATACACAGTAGTTACATGGAATTCTATACTTAATATAGTATTTACTTTACTAAGAATGGTGATAATTACTTAAATTTAAATATTTAGAAAATATAAAATGTAGAAATAATGACTATGATATAAGCTATGATTCTTAATGATAAAGTTTAAATATATTTTATTTAATAACATAAAAATTTTAAATACATTTCTTTATAGCTCAACTTCCTCAACTGCTTCACTCTCAGGGAACTCACCCAAGACTGGGACCTCTGAGTGGGCAGTTCCTCAGCCTTCAAGATTAAAATATCGGCAAAAATTTAATAGTCTTGACAAAAGCATGAGTGGATACCTCTCAGGTAAGCTGCATACAGTCCATAGGAGTGTGAGAGAGTTGGTCTTTTATGTGAACATCCACTGAAGAACTTTTATTTGAATTTATACTTTATAGCTCATCTAACATTTTAACATCCAAAAATTTAGCAAGCAATGGGATGTGCGCTACTATTATTGATGTCTTAGCATTTTGTTATAGTTTCATTAGTAGTATTTTTTCTTTCTTTGTACATAAAATGATGGGTTTTATAACTGGAATCTTAAATTTTATGAAATATATTGAAACATACTTGAGAAAAGAAGTCATAATTCCTATTTGTTGAAAAAATGAACTTCTTTGAACCCTAATATTTTGCATTAAAACTCTTTCTGGAGTGCTATGGCACAAGACTCTAGTCCCAGCTACTCAGGTGGCTGAGTGGGACTGATTGGACTAGCAAAATATGCTTGAGGTGGTTTGGTGCAAGAATCACTTAAGCCCACAAGTTTGAGGTTGCTGTTAACTGTGATGCTACAGCACTCTACCCAGGGTGACAGCTTGAGACTCTGTCGGAAAAAAAAAAAAAAAAAAAGAAAGAAAGAAAAAAAAAATGTGCTTGAGCTCATGTGTTGGAGTCCAGCCCAGACAATGCAGGGAGACTACATCTCTTCAAAAAAGAGTTCTTTTTTTTCAATCTAGTGAAAGTGAATTAAAACATGTACAAAAGTGTTCGTAGCTTAAATGTCCATCAACGGAGAATAAATAAATCATGCATCACCACAAACAGTATAAGTAATGTGTTGTTTTATGACAGCTACTGTGGCACTAGACAATAGGAATTATTTGGCTCTATTGTAATGTTTCAGCTCCATTTACATAACAGAATATTTAAGGTAATAAAAATGAATTAATTGCTGATGCATACAACAGCATGAATGAATGTCACAGATACTATACTGAATGAAAGAAGCCTAGCACAGAAGATCCTTGCTATTTAAGCCATTTATATGAAGCTGAAGAACAGGAAACCTAATTAATAGCGATAGAAATCAGAATAGCATAGTTACTCTTTTGGGAAGGGGCTAAAACACACAGACCTCCTGAGGAGCTAGAAACATTTCTGTGACTTGGTATGGGTGTTGGGTGCATGTGTGCATACCTGTGTAAAAGTTTTTTAGGCTGCACACTTGAAATTAGTACCCTTTATGTACTGTAAATATAACAGAGTGAACAGAGGTGATTTTGTGTTGGGAATGAAGGATGGTGTGAGACCCAGCTATGAGCATATGACGGAGAATCCCTAAAGTTACTTTACCTCGTATATGCCACATTGTGTGAAGATTGTATATTGTGCTGTTTTCAGAGAATGTTGTTATTCTGAGACCTACAGGGGTAAAGCTACATATTTGTAGGTAAGCACAGAGTTTTCTTTAAAAAGAGTAGTTATTTCTGATGCCCCCAAACTGAATGTGGGCCCCAAATACATGAGCATGGGCTGAAACTGGTTTACATGTTTATGTTCGTTCAGTGAATGTAGCAGTTGGTGATCTGTAGTTTTCCTTTTTGTTCTTTTCTTCCTCTTCTCTCCCCTCTAAACCCACAGTCTTTTATTTTGATTAATTCATTGAATCACTTATTTCCCAAGTCACTTATCTTCTGGGCACTCTCTTGGTGCTAGAATACAGAGAGGAAGAAGATACGCTTCATACCATTGAAAAGCCCATAGTATGTAGCTCACATACAGTATTTGATTAGTTGTTTAAAAGTGCTGTGATTAATACAGATGAAAAATGACTAACTCTTAGGATACAAGAGAGAAGTTTTCACAAGAGATGATCTTTGAGCTACATCTTACAGGATAAACTGCTAGGTAGAGAATAGGGGACTGGCCTTGTAGGCAGAGGATGTAGGATATCCCCAAAGGTTTGGCAGAAAGTACTCTGCTGACTCTCTGTGGCCCTTTGTATTATTCACATTTTGCCTTATGCTTTTTCACCATTTATATTCTTTCTTCTCCTGTTTGCTCTGTTGCCTAACACTGAGAGTATTAAGCTATCTTTGTCTAAGAGCTAAAATACTAGTTTTAAACCTTTTTTCAGGTTTAAAATAGACTTTCTTTCTCGTTATTAGCAGAATCCTCCTTTTAACACAAAGACCTCTTTTTTTTTTTTTTTTTTTTTTTTTTTGAGACAGAGCCTCAAGCTGTCCCCCTGGGTAGAGT